GGGACATGGCACGGGGTCGTCCCCATTACTAAAAAACAACATAGCCCCACTCCACAAAGGGGAAAAGCAACAGCAAAGAACTACAACCAAAGCACTAACATCCCCTATCATAAAAATCTTTTAAAAGGGTCCTAAGAAGCAAGATCACCCCCCACTAGAAACCCATCAGTTACACAACCCGGGGAACCCTGGGTTTAGAACAGGTCGCTCCGTCTGTCTCAACTACTGGATCACTACGACAAGGGCCAAATCACTAGAAGACAAAAAGAATGCAGATGTAAAATAACAGACTTTGCAAAACCTTCGACAAGTTGACCATGGGGTAATAGCGACAAAAAAGCGCCTAAAGGAAAACAGGAAAAGTTGGGCGATGGGTTATAATTTCCTCACTAAAAGAACACAAGATAGCGTCAACAGAGTAAAGTCCGAGCAGCTACGGTGAAAAGCTCTGTTCCACAAGGGACATACTACTCCCATCTTTTTCCCACCTCATATCCGACATAGACAAGATGCAGCCACACACCGTGTCTTCCTTGCAGATGACACCGAATCTGCATGACAGTGTCTTCCCTTGCAGAACGCAAGGCTCCAGGGGGACCAACCAAAACTTTTAAAGGGGGCTGCAGAAAAACATATAAGTTTTAAGATGAAAATTTCAATTTCTCAATTGGAAACATGAGGAAATTAAAAACTTCATCAGGTAAAAACAAATTCTGGCCACAAAAAAGACGAAAAACCAACTCAAAGACCTGGGGTGATTATGTCGAGGATCTCACCTTCAAGGACCATAAAAAAATTGTATCAATCGAAATCTGCTAGAAAAATTTACAGCTGGATAAGAAACCTTAAAAACTAGGGAGGCCAACCCCCCGATGACCCCTTTTCAGGCCCATTTTTCTATCTAGGCGGGAAATATTGCTGCACTCTAACAGCCCCTTTTTCCAAGGCGGGTTTGAAATTCCCGACCTAGAAAAGGGTACAAAAAATTTAAAGGGCGCTTTTTAAAAAGAAAAACACCTAAATTTAACGGGGGACGCTTGAGGTTTCAAAACCCCGTTTTCCCGGGAACGCAGGAGGGGAGATACATATTATAAAAACCGGGGAAAACCCTAGAGGGCCCTTACCGAACTTGCCCCACGAAAATCACTCAAACGAAACAAAAGACTTGGCAAAAACATGCACCACCCCCCCAATGAAAAGCAGGGGTGTCATTTAGCACTTTTAAGGGAGCCCAATCAAAAAAAAGGCGGGGGAACCGAAAACTTTTAACTGCCCCCCAGCACACATAAGGGGGTTTTAACCAACAGCCCCCCTGGCAGTTTCAAGTTTGGAAACGGACAAGCACCTAAAGGCATTTTCCTAACCCGGGTCTGTGGCTCGTACGTTGGTTTGGGGCGCCAAAAGCAACACCCCGGGTTGATCAGGCGTTTGATCCCCCAGGAGGCCTGGTCACAAAACCGGGGCCCCGCGGGGGCGTTGACCCCCAAAACCCTCTCTCCAGGAAAACTCCTCCGGTCAGAAAATTTAAGGGATCAATGATTATTCGATGCCCGGAGGAATGGAATCAGGAGTTGTTTTAAAATTAAGAAAATTTTTGTTAAACAGGGAAAAAGGGCAAGGGAAAAGGGAAAGGAGAGGGAAAAGAGGGGGAAAAGGAAGGATGAGAAAAAGGAAAAAAAAAAAACTCCCATAGAACCCAGAAATTCCATTAGTAAGGAAAAACACAACACAACACTTGTCTATTTTCCCCTTGGCTCAGCAACAATTTACTAAGATAGGGTGAAAAGAATGAAATACCAGGGGTAAGAGAAAGGAAGAGTAAGGGAAAAGGGGGAGGAGACGGGTGGCAAAAAGTGGGAAGTGAGAAATGGGGGTAAATTTAAATAAATTTAAATTTTTTTTAAAAAAAAATGGAGGGCTGCCTATGACGAGTGAGATACCAAGGGAGACGAGTGGTCAGAGGGAGAGGAATTTTTTGCACCTCTGAAAGCTAACGTGTTTCTGGGAAAAAAGCAAATAGAGAAGGAATCTATAGCCCTAATATTGGGCACTAAAAAAAGGATAAAGTTAAAGTAAAAGAAAGAATTTTCCCAAAAACAGTTTTTTCCCTGACACCAGATACTTTTACCCGACAAAGACAAGGAATAGAAGAATTAAGAGACACTGGAAGATGAAAATGTCTGATACACAAATGTAATCCCAGTTTTTCAAAAACATAATTCTTTCTAAGAAACTACATAAGATAAAACAGAAATGGTTTTTTCAACTTCAAAGAAAAGGGAAAACAAAGAAAACAACCAGCATGATTTTTTTTGATTGCAGATTTTGTCTCATAAATCTTTTAAAACTGTGAGGGAAGTTAGGGAGGATAAAAGAAAGTAAATTATCTTCGTCGACTTTATGGAAGCATTTGACACATTACACACGTTTTCTATTTTAAATAACCCGGAAGAGAAGGTACGAGCAGTGTGGCATGCAAAGAGTACGTAACCTTTATTCGGCGCATGTACACACCCTCATTTACAGGCTATCTCCCCCAACCAGCGAACCAGGGGCTAAGGGTTGACGATGGGGCCCCGTCGTTCAATCAGTACCCAGGTTCCAGCCAATGAGAAGATGGCTTTGGCAATCGCAGAGGTGATGTGGGTACCACTCACCCGTCTGCCCTTGTCATTCCCATTCTAGAGCTGGTTGAAGCACGGTCTGCTCTTTAGTGGCTTCTATTCTGCCTTGCTTACTGTGGAGTGCACTAATACCTATTGTTGTATATAGTGTACATACTTCTGTTCTAAATTGGCGAAGGATAATATAAGCCAAAAGTTTTCTGCTGTGTTTATTTTGCTTCCTTTACACCCAGGATAACAGGCCTTTGGGACTCCTGGGTTGTAATAAGCAGCAGGGAAGATACTCGAGTAAATCCAATAATATTTAGTAGACAACAGGTATTGTCAGAAAGGTGCCGAAGTGGACATGGATGAATGAAGTCCCTCAAGAGCCAGCGCTTGTACCTCTGCTACTCTTGATATACCTAAATGTCTTGCCAGAGAAAACTGAGTCCTTGTCACAGCAGAGTGAAATTAATGAGAATTATGCCCGGAGAAGAAAGAGTGAGACTAAAAGAAGACTTGAACAAGCTACCGACATGGACGGAAAAAGGAAAAAGGAGAGATGCTGAGAAAACTGAATAAACAGATTCTAGTCTTCAAGAACACTGATATTCTTAGTCTGAGTTGTTTGTTCCACTGCTTCTACTCAAACATATGTCCCGATATGGCATCTAAATTGCAAGCAGTTGCATCATCACTAAGTGATATAAACTTCATTACGCATTACTTTAACAGGTTTGCATTTGAAGCCAAGAACAAGCGAATTTTTATATGTAAATGAAGGGGTTAATTTCCTTTTTTTTTTTTTTTTTTTTTTGCCGACTCCATCTCATAAAGGGTTTATGTGCATGATAGACCTGATAATCTTAAAAAAAAAATACGTTATGGAAAATTAAAATTACCTGGATGAATCTCATTAGATACATACTAGTAATTTTATAAAAGTAACAAAGATAATTATTCTTTATCAAGGTTACAGAGCCATGTAGAAATTTTAGGACATCCTAGGTCGCAAAAAAGTCCTCCTTCGATACCTACTCCACTCATATCTCCACAAGTCACTCTGGACCTATATTAATTTCAAATGAAATATACATCACCAGGAATTCTGGTACAACATTAATATAAATATGTGGACTGTATGTTAAATTTAATAAATGACTACATATACATTGAAGGAGAATTTATAATAATAACACTCACCAATTTGTCTTGAGATTACTTGGTGTGTCATACACAAACCCCCTGCCTAAAATATGAAGAAAATACTGGCCAGAATTTCAACATAAATAGACATCAGTTGGGTGAATTTATCCTATTCCCATCTAATTACAGAGTCCTGTCCAGTCGCCTAATTCTCACGTTCTGCAGGGCTGCAAATCCAACAATCTCGGCTCCTATCTGAGAGGTTTTAAACACAATTTAACCTCTAGAGCGACGAAAATTCGTCCGATTTCCACTGTTCTCTTGCCCAGTTCAAAAACAATGGCGACTCCCCTTCCCCAGCGACGCTCACCACTCTCGCTGGTTCTTTATTTATTTACAAATTAATTTTTATTAACTACAATATATTCCATAAATTTACATACAAATACACTGTATTTTCGGAAAATATTCAGTATTTTCCACATATGTTGTTGGCAAGTGGGATTTGCAGAGAAATTCAAGAAAAAGTCGATAATATTGAGAGCGAATTTGATTTAATTCAGTTCCATTAACATAATATCAAACCTGCCCGATGAGTAACGTGTTAGCACACAGGATATATATACACCCTGAATGATCTATTTCTCTTGGTAAAACAAAAGTTTCTTCTCTTCATACTTATACTGAGAGCTTTCTTTAATCCCAATTTTAGGGGTTGAAATATTCTTGACTGGTGGTTACCGTGCATCCTTTAATGATCCTAGTGTAGATAGGCTTTAAGTCCCATTTCTCTCATCGTATATATGCTGAGAGTATTCCTGTTTGCTGCTGAAAAGGTTAACTTACAGCCTAAATAACTCTCGTGTAGTCGATAGGCTTTAAGCCTCATTAACCAAACAACCAGCAATGGTAATAGTTCAGATAACATAAGCAGCTACTTTGATATAACTATCGCTAGTTACGGTCAGGACACAAATATTTCTATAAGTTTACTACTAGAATTCTCTCAGCCTATTGTGAATGGCTCACTACCACTAACTTTTAACTTAAGAACGTTGGCGTCTCGTTTTTGGCGCTATTACAGCATGATCATACTCTTATGTTTGGCTGTCTGCCTTGCTGAGTAAACAAGAGCGTTCTGATGTGTGTTCGATTAATTAATTTTTAAATATAAACGATACTTACAGCTAGCAATGCTAATCAGTGTTAATGAATTATTAATGAAATGTTTTTTACGCTAATCTTTAGACTGAGTTGCCCAACTGTTTGAAGCAAGATGTGGGAGGTGAGCAACACCGTGGCGCTGCTGCTGCTGCTGCTGCAGGCTGTGGTGGTAGTGGGCAGCCAGCAAGAAGACAGCTGGATACGTCACAACTTTGCCACCACACACAGGTAAGTGGTGCCTTGGCTTGTTTGAGAATTATCAATTGCAAGATTTTCTCAGAAACAGAGAGATGTTCAGTAGCAGCCAGAGAGCAACGGGTCCCACAAGGTCCCATCTAGGACCCACACTCTTCCTGGTATATGTAAAAGACCTCCCAGAAGTTTAGCTACTGTTGTATTGCTTATAAAGTTATATAATTTGCACGTTCTTATAGTTATATATAGAGTAATGATTTTTCCAAGATCTTTCATTTTGCACATTTACCTACGTATTATCATTACTATGAACTTATGAGGAATGAATTCAAGGCGACACTTTCAGAATCATATTTGCATGCTGTTCTCTTCATAAAATTTTTCTTTGCCCTCTTCCGTTATCCTTTCAAATGATTCCAACAGTGATACACAGGAGTGAATTTTCTGTGTATCACTGTATCCTCATTTGCGTATATTAGGAACAAAAGGTGTCGAAATACTGGTCTCTGAGGAACTCCAGTCGCCACCATTGCTCATATTACACGTCTTTCTCAATCACCCTCTGCCTTCTGTTGACTAAGTATTTCTGTATCCTGCCCTTGTAGATAAATGGTTCAGAGAACCGATAAGTTGTGCAACACTTGGGTATCTTTATTGAGGAAACGTTTCGCCACATAGTGGCTTCATCAGTCCATACAAAGGAAAATGGTGAAGAACAGGAGGAGTTTGAGGTAATCAGTTCCTCAGCCTGGAGTCGATGTGATCAGTCCATCAATCTTGAAAAGAATACAGCATATGTGCGAAGAAGTGGTTTGTGTACTGTAGACAGGTGAGGTAAAGCAATCGTAGGTATCACATTTGACAAATCCAAATGTGGAAGTAGGTCATGCCTAAAAGCTATGCAATTGAAGAATTCCCTGTATTAAGATCACTGGATGTTGCTGTTATTGACTGATTGTTGCTGTTGATGGACTGATTACATCGACTCCAGGATGAGGGACTGATTACCTCAAACTCCTTCTGTTCTTCACCATTCTTCTTCCTACGGACTGATGAAGCCACTGTGTGGCGAAACGTTTCCTCAATAAAGATACCCAAGCGTTGCACATGTCTGATTTATCATCCTGCCTTTGCATCCTTCCGTTTTGCCTTTGTCTCCTCGTTCAGTATATATAGCAGAAGTCTGGGAGGTTCTGTATCAAAAACTTTCTTACAGTCCAGTTTCCCCAACTTTTCCTCTCTAGCTTATTTCCGTTACACCGTCCTAAAACTTTAAGAGATTCATGAGACAAGAGTTGTTATCTTTAAGCTCATACTGGCTGGCTGTCAGTGAAAATTGCCTAAAGTTCAGTGCTTCCTGCCTATTCTACTTCCCCTATATAAAGATCAAATTTGTAGTTTTCCATCTGTCTGACAGCTGATCTGTTTCCATTGATTTGTTGTGTATTCTTGATAAGAGGTTATAGAGTACCTCTGTTCCTTCTCTCAATATGCAAGGTGATACATTATTTGGTCCTGCTGCTGTCGTCACATCTAAATTCTTTATAAAGCTCTCTTGCTTTCCAATGTCATTAAAATTTTATTTAATATTTCCTGCTCATGCTTTATTCTCCTGGTTGTTTTCCCTGATTTCGATAATGATCATTCCGGATCTGTTAATTTCTTCACATACCTCTCTGTCATCGTTTATTAGTTCACCTTTCTCCTTACTGAATCTTATTCTTATCGAATCTCTTTCTGCTTATCTTTTTATTCCTGAATGGCTCCTCTACTTAATTCCTGTTCTTTCTGCTGTTCTTCATTATATTTTCCATTCCTTTTACTTCGCTGTGCCCTTTGTGAGCTCCACCTAGAATCCTTCTCCTCTCTGTGTAATTATCTCCAACAGAGTCTAATTTTTCTTGCATTTCTTCACTCACTTATGCTTTTCCTACTTTCACTAGGTAGTCGAAATGTGGGAGCACGTGGTCTATTACAATCACAGGTACACACAGAAGGCCTTTAAGATAACTCACTAGTAAAGAAATAAACAATTATGAAGCAATAAAGACAAAGGCAAATTCGAAAAACAGTTTTTTTGAGTTCTCGAATATTCCCACCAGCAATATTTAACAAGTGTGCAACACAGCAGCAATGTAGGCAGCTACCATACTTGTAAGCAACTTAAAGAGAAAAATTGAGTACGATTACCGCCATTGGCTCTTAGACTCGTAAAAGAAAAACCAGCATATGTTTTCAGAGCTAGTGAGAGACTGACCTCCAGAACTGGGTGTAGGTATAAAGTCAGCTCATCAAAAATTCAACCTCTCACCCTATAACTGTTAGTCACAATATAATCATGGGGCCCGACGGCTGTACAGCAATTACTACCAGGCTTTGTCTGATTATGGAGGGAATGTAAGACGTGGTTGTTTGATGCACACTAAATACATGTAACGTACTCAGTGCTCGCCCCATGTCACTGCCTCCAAGAAGTTTCTCATATTCTACTTTCTCTATGTCTGTTGTTCTGAAGGAAAATACCAAATCCAGACTTGTTACCTCCTCCCCTAGTAGCCTCGCTGTGTCTTTTAATGAGTTGTTGAAGCATTCCATTACTTCCTCCAGTTTTTCTTTCAGCGATTCTCGCCCTCTATGATATTCCCACTTCTTACAGTCAATTGTTATGTGGCTAAAGGGTCTCCAGATTATTAGTTATGCCTTTATCTTATTTATTCTCTTCGCTAATTCGTCTTGGATCTGTACAATTACCATGTTGTTGCTTGAGTCATCTGGTGTTTGGTGGTGGACAGTTGTTGCGAATAAGAAATTTTTTAAAGAACTTCAGAATGTGGCCTGTTACCATTTATTTCTTATGCAACAAGATTTTTGGATCCGAGTTATTTAAAGGTCTTTTAAAGTCTAGGGGAAATAATTTCAACTGGGAAACTCCATAGAATAATATTAAAATTTGTTAAAGTATTTAAATACAATACTTTATCTTCTCTTTGTAGTTAATGTAACTTAATACTTTGTACAATAAATTTACCATATACATTTAGTTCAAAATCATGGAAATGTCACATTAATAAGGAAGTTTAATTATTCTTCCTGTAATTAAGTCTTCATTAACATTTACATCTTTGTCTTAACAAGACTCTAAACTCAAAATACAAAAGGTAAAAGATTTAACAAGACCTTTGAATCTGGCCGTAAAGTATCTCTATGGATTACTGAACTGACCAAGAATATAAATATCAAAAGAATCTTTCAGAGCAATGAGGAACAAACTGAGTCGGCTCTAGAGTCCAATTCTCAAAACCATTCAAACTGTACACCGTAAGAGCCATTATACGATCAGTTGTCAGGGCTAGAGCTGGGAGCAAACTGACTACTTGCCAGTCTGTTGATGTGTCGTCAGGTTGGATCAGCTGACCCAAACGTCAGCCAGCCGGACATAAACAATTGAACAATTCACCGGATGGTTCCGAGACTTAAACTCTATATACACAAGAAATCCTACCTAACAATAATAATAAAATAATAGTGATAATAATAACAAAATAGTGATAATAACAAAATAGTGATAATAACAAAATAGTGATAATAACAAAATAGTGATAATAACAAAATAGTGATAATACCATGGTATTTTTCATATATTAACAGATAATAATATAACGCCGAAAGTCTCTATTTTAGCTATAAATGGGGACTTTCGCGCCATAATATTAAGTGATGAACATATTCTCTTACAATAGTTAAATAACACAGGATGACCAATTTCGAAGATATAACACCCCTCCCCCGTGTACGACAATAGGTCGCAGTAAGGAGTTTGCAAGCGTCCTTGGTAATATCTCCTTGATAGTAAGCACCCTCTTGGTAAATAAGGCATGTAGTACGATGGAAGAATGGAGAAGAAAGAACTCGATCAGCATGGTTATTTGCCAGAGGATGAGCTTTTAGAACAATGGCTGCAAGAACTATCTGGAGTGGCTTCCATCACAATTTGAGAATAGGAGTCTCAGACATGACTGTCAGGGTCATCCATGTGGACTTAATACTTCGTCCCATCAACGAAACGGCTTTCATAGTCATACTGTCATTATAAAAGAAAATCATTAACAAAAATATATAATATATATATATAAATTAGGCTCTAAGAGTACTCCTTTCTTAACTTTACATTTTAAGGTATACATTTTTTTTTTCAGGGGCGAGAAAGGGCATCAGCAATTATGTTAAGGGATCCACTTAAGTGTTGAATACTAATCAGATAAGGTTAGATCCTCAGAGCCCACCTTTAATATAAATTAAAGGGTTGTGATCAGAAAATACCATAATTTTATGGGGGGAGGTTCCCAGATAAATGTCAAAATGTTCCAAAGATATTACTAGGGCAAGAGCTTCTTTCTCTACAGTCGCGTAATTCTTTTGGTGACGTTTCAACTTTGAAGAAAAATAAGATATAGGATGCAAAATATCAGTAGAGGGTGATTTCTGAAGTAACACCGCCCCCACAGCATAACCGCTGGCATCGATGTGTAAATAGAAGGGTTTGATTAAAGTCAGGACTTTTCAATATGGGTGACGAAGAAAGCAACCGCTTCAACTGATTAAAAGCTATCTCACAATCTTTCGTCCAGCAAAACTTCATCTTACTACTGGTTAACTCAGTAAGAGGAGATGTAACCTCAGAAAAATTAGGACAGAAACGTCGATAATAACCAGTCATTCAAAGGAACCTCTGTATAGACTTTCTATCTTGAGGGATAGGAAACTCGGCAATGGCCCTACCTCACCCAGACCTATACAAAAACCGAGGTATTTAATCTTGGCTTGTCCAAACTGGCACTTGGCTAAATTTATGGTGAAGTTGTACTTTTCTAACTTCTTAAACAAGGTTTCCAGGCGAATTAAATGTTGCTCCCACTCATTGCTATATATAACAAGATCATCTAGATATGCATCCACTCCTTCTAAATCATTGGTCAGCAGGTTCATCAGGCGCTGAAAGGTAGAGGCCGCGTTACACAACCCGAAGGGCATAA